AAATAAATAAATATTTTCCACAGGTGAGAATTTCCTCATTTGTGTCAATGATTTTTTTTCACCAATTGTAATACTGCAAATTGCTCAAAGCTACCATATTTGCTGCTGTTTCTCCTGGATTTTATAAAAATCAGACATATCAGATGGATTGTTTGTGACTTTTTGGTTAATCAGGCAGTCCTTTTGTTTTTTGCTCTGTTTGAGAGTGCTTTGCAGCTCAAGAACAGCAGATGCTAATTTTGCACGAAGTCATTTTGTATAAATTGCAGAAACCTCCATGGAAAAACACATACATTCATTTTCTCTCTTTCACGTTCTAGGTGAGAGATCTCACAGAGTTAGTGAACTTTATCAGGCTGTTTCCCAGAGAACAAGAAACAGTGAGAGTTCTTTATGCTTCCACATATGTGCAGGAGAGGAACTCTCTGTGTCTCCTCTCTAAAAATATGTGTGGCGCGGCACCAAATATCCCTCTCCTTATTTCAATGACTAATTTCAAGCAGAGGAAGATTTTGAGAATTTAGAGGGATGGGAGCGTATGCTTGTTTGAGGGGATGAGAAAACTCCATGGCGCTCTTTTATATCTCTGACCAAATCTTTTTCCCTGTTCAAGAAGCATTTCCTAAAATTCTCCGGGTGTTCACCTAAGGTTTGCGTAACTAGTCGGCAGCTAGTTGGCAAGGGACCAAGATGTGTCTCAGCTGCATGTCTGATTGCATGCCTGGCCTGCACAACTGGGACGCACCTTGTCACTGGGTGCCATAAGCCGCACAAAACCTGCACAGTCATCCATAGAATTCTGGCCTTTGTGGTGAAAAACGGCACCTGCTATAAAAAGGTATTGGGGGTCATCGATTTTTTTGAAGGGGTAATAGTGGCAATGTCTCCCATACCAAGACCTTGGTGTGGTTTAAAAATGGTGCAAATGAGCACTTTTAAAAATAGCACCAGGGGCCTCTGCTGCTAGTGGACAGTGCTGCCTGTCCTGTTTTAATGTGAGGATTTGCATTAAAAGAAGGTGCCTGCAAATGGGCAATGTCATACCTATTTGCAGATAGCTTGCAGTAAAAAGCTTACAGTGGGTTATCTGAAATGGGTAGTTCTGGCCTTTGCTTCAGAAGGTAATTTGGGCTGAAGATTTTGATTCATGGCCTGGCTTGTCAGGCTGACTGCGGTAGGAAGGGTAACCCTCAGAAATCCCGGTCAATGCACAGAAAATAAAGCCACTTTGTTCTGTTGGACTTTGAATTTATTTTTTATAAGAAAGCAGCCATGCCAAATTATACTTGAGACCTTTTACCCAGTTGTCAAGCAAAAGAGCCCCATTACAGAATAATTCTCTCTCATTTCCTTCTGCTGTGCAACTGCTAGACGCTCTAAAAAAATCGATGACTGAATAAAATTAAGCAAAATTATTACTTCTACGGCTGTTGAGGCTCACTTAGCTTGCAGTTTCTGTCACTCAAAATGAAGGCGCTATTGATTTTTGGCTTATCATCGAGTATTTTACATTGTTTCATTTTTCCTCTAGTGCATTAAATCATGTCATTTCAGCAGTGTTGTGATGCATAATATTAGAGTGTGTGTGCAAGAGAGAAAAAAGAAATGGGGCAACTTTGAGTGTGACTGCACTAGCCCTTTTGGTGCAGCCTGGGGTGGTCTAAATAGGGTCTTTTGAGGTTGAGAGGGAAGCGGGCATATGTCATTTGGTGCACTCCCTGCATCCAAATGGTATATCAACCTCAAGCAACTCTATTTCCGGTATTGTAAAGTGGCATAGTAAACGAGCCATCTCAGGATATCAGCAAATTCAAAATCACCCTAGAAGGGAAAACACTCTGGTCAGTGCAGTGGACAACTCTATTTCTGGTATTGTAAAGTGGCTTAGTAAATGAGCCACCTCAGGATATCAGCAAATTCGAGATGATCACTCCAGAAGGGAAAACACTCTGGTCAATGCAGTGAGCAACTCTATTTCTGGTATTGTAAAGTGGCTTAGTAAATGAGCCACCTCAGGATATCAGCAAATCCAAGATATATGGTATGGGAGGCCTCCCTCTGTACCACTGAGACACTCAGTTGCTGCCACATGTTGGTTGCAGCTACAGCAGTGATGGCAGTATGGAGTCTCCTGAAAGGTTGCACAACGGGACAGTAGGCAATGAGGGAAGAAAAGTTGCAGAAAGGGATTGGGGAAGCCTGGTGATTTCCCCTTCCTTATCCCTTATCTACATTTATGGGTCTTTAGGTAGCCGTCAAAGCTAGCATTTGGCTAGCCTAGGTAGCCAGCCATTATTTGGTCATAAAGTGCCACAACATTTTTGTCTTCCTTATTTTTTTCTTTTGATTTCGCCTGATTAATTGTTCACAAAAGTCAGTGAACCAGGATCCCACCATGATAGAAGCATAAATACCTTTTCTTCCTCCCTCAACTAGAACATTTAAATGTTTACAAGTATTCTGCTGTGGTATTACAATTTATAGCAATTTCTGAGGGGAAAAATTTGCAATTCTATTGTTAGGAGTAGAGATGAGCATAGACCACTGGTTTGATGGTTCATGTCGGTTTGTTTAGTGACTGAACAGATGTTTGGTGTTTCAAAGTTCTGTCTCCTTTGGTGGGCACCCACTCTGAGGCAATGGCCTAGCTACCTCCTCTAGGCACTGCCTCTGTGTGGGCACTCCCCAGAGCAGTAGGGCAGTGAAGTGCCAGGCTGATAAATGAACCAGCAGAAACTGGCATTTACTGTTAATTACTAAATTTTAATACGAATATGAGAACAGTGTAAAAACTGGAATACTGCATTCCACCTAGGCTATGAGGGTTTCTGTGTACCACTAGATGAGCAACATATTCTACAGTGCATAGGGGAATAACGTGGCTACTCTTACACCCCCAGCCCCAGAAAAAAGTGAGACATCCCACCGTGTCTGTTGCTCAGAAACATATAGGAAGGAAATTTCTTAGCTGCTGTAACATCACTAGAAGGAAATCTATATTTTGCACTGACAGCTTGTTGATTGCCTTTTTGAACCCCATTAGTAAACAATTCTAACAGCAATACAATAATAGTAAACAGAAGAGTATGTGCTCTCAAATTATAGCATAGAGTGGCCAGGCTGATTAGACCTTTTCTGATAGGAGAACATAGTCAGGGAAGTCCCTATTAGATTTCCATGTCTCTTTACGTTATTCTGGATGAGGCTCAATTCAGGTTTAGCACGCTGTTAATGTAATTCTCATGCAAACCCCATTCACATTGTACATTGCCAGATGATGGCACAGATGTACACAGTGTTTTTGGAGGGGAGAACACACTACAGTACTACTACTATCACCATCCACCCACCCCAAAGCAAAATAATAGACCCCACCCCTAAGGGACAACATTTATTAAACCATAGGGCTTCTGAATGGAAGCAGACTGATTTGCTGACGTTTAACAGATCTCCTTGGTATGTTCAAAAATGCTCTGTTCCTCATGGAAGTTTAGCAGTAAATATTATGAATGTTCTAATCTTCAAAAAGAATCCAAAATAATATCAAACTAACAAAGTGGATCTAAAAGAAAGCTGCTTCTACTTTTTCAAAATTATGGGACATAGAAAAAAGGAAAGTATGTCTTGCTGATCACTAGTCATGGCACCAAAACTAGCAGAGAGGTGCTCCCAGTGAAATTTTCCCAATTTCAGGTGTGGGGTTGGGGAGTCTTATATTGTAATTCCAAAGTTTGGAAAAAATTTTCCCAATTTCAGGTGTGGGGTTGGAGAGTCTTATAATTCCAAAGTTTGGGGGAAAAAATGACTTTTTGGGACTACAATTCCCAGAATCTTCTAACTATGTTGGCTGGGCCATTCTGGGAGTTTTAATCCCAGAAAGTCACTTTCACGAGGGCTTCCCAGTTCCTTTTTCACTCCAATATTCCCACTGTCCCACTTTCCGGGGACAGCCAGCCTATTGCTCTAGTTACGCACGTGGATCCATAAGAAGCCAAGCACACTTTTCAAAGCCGTGCAGACGCCATGTACCTTCTCTCATCATGTCTGTAGGATGTGGAACTCCGGCCACTGGTCCAAATGAACATCTTAGAAGTCTGGTCTCCGCTGCCTCTCCTTACCGTAGAGGTCCTGGACGGATGCTGGTAGGACCTAGGAGGAAATGGACGATGTTTATCACCATGGACTGGGAACCTGCTGGGCCACATTACATCCGGCAGAACCGAGTGCCAGATCTTGACTGCTTGTCAAATGCTTTGCAGTCCCTGCTCCATGGAGGGTGGCTTTTAGATGATTCCAAGGGATGTGTCAGCCAACAGAGATGACCTTTTCTTTTCTTTCCAGGAGGTGTAATTGACATTAAATTATCACTGACTTAACTTTGTTAGATTCTCTTTCTTCCTCCTCCCAATTATTATTAGACTTAGCAAAACTGTGCTTCGCTGTTTTCTCAGGTGTCAACGTATTGTTCTTTGCTTTGTACAGAAACCCCCTCGTATTAAACAAGCCATCCAGATGTGTCAATGTTTTGCAGGCTTTTTCTCTCTCCGCTGCTTTTAGCCAGGAGCTTATGTCGTACATTTTCTCTAAGCAACGGTACACATCCTGGCCATTAGGGTTGTGTATTCCAAAGTCACTCATCTGTTACCAAAGCTGCCATTTCATTTAAACTGTGGTTTAAAGTCCATCATCTGATAGCTCCCTGACTGATTTCTGATTGGCGCTGCTTTGTGAAGGGTGGAAGGAGGTCATGGTAACCTACTACCACTGGAGAAAGAGGTTGTTTGCAAGGTAAATGTTAAAGCCACTTTGTTTTCTTCCCTCTGTTGCTCCCTAACCGCACCTTCTTACCACCCTTACATTTCACAAATGAAAAGAACGCACTTAGGTCCTTGTTCATCTATTCTCCATTCAAAGGATCATTGCTTAGTCCCTCCATGGCTGTCCTGCTCATCAGAGCCTCTTTCTTTCTGTAAACAGATCCCAAACAATACATTTTTATGACCATGGATAATGAATACGCTGTACGCACAGCTGTGTTTACCTTTTCTTCTATATGTATGTGAAAAACTGACAAAAACAGAAGCCACCTCAAATGGCTGAGATTTTGAAAAGGGGAACACTAGCAACCTAGCATGAGACAGGCAAAGGAAGGCAAGTATCTGAATGGCGCTGAGTTTTTAATCTGATGTGGGTAATTTGTGGCCCTATGGAAGTAGCTGATAAGAGAAATCGAACCTGCACCTAGTGTAGTGGGCATGGAAGAAGAGGGGGAGAGAAAGGAAGAGACAGAAAGGATGGTTCTTCCTATTTTCCACTACATTCCTACTCAGCATCATCATGCCACCCTGAGACTACTCACAATAGAGTAGCCACTTACACATCATCAAAAGAGAAGACACGCGTCATCAAAAAGAAAGACTGCACTTCTCACATGTTCAAAACATGTGAGAAGTGCTGTCCTCTGAAGATGCCGGCCACAGAGACTGGTGAAATGTTAGGAAGAACAACCTTCAGAACACGGCCAAAGAGCCCGAAAAACCCACAACAACCAAAGACAAAATGTTTGCATAAAAGTGCGGGGTGGGTGGAAAAGGTGACCAGGTGACTTTTGTGCCTGTTGAGTTTGCTGTCCAGGTGCTAACTGTGGATGAGCAATGTCAAGGTCCCTGATCTCTCAGCTTATGACTCAGTGGTTGAAATCCTGTGGCTTAGCATAGTAAATTGCAACTAGCGTAGTCGCATTGAATCAGTGGTGATTTGGTAAATCAGCTCCTCCCTGAATTCTATTGATTCAATGGACCTGCTCCAGTTCTGACTTCCAACATTCAGCAACAGGATTTTAGCCTTTGGTTGAAATCCTGTTACATTGTTATGCAGGCATAACAATGCAACAGGATTTCCATAAAATGGTGTGACACTCACTTGCCTCTCGCTGGCAATTAGCAAGCCTCCAATAGATGCTCAAGTGCCTGCCAAGCCAGGGGATGTGGATGCCCTTGAGAACTGCAGTGGCGGCTCAGTAATTGTCAGTTACGCCAATTGCCTTCCATATGTATTAAAAAGCAGCAGGATTTCAGCCTTTGACTTTATATCAGCTGTGTAGTGCATAGCCAATCAAAAAGAAAGCTTCCAAAACAGGATTGTCCTCATACAGGTGGAAGACGGTCCTCCCTCAAAGAAGACATGAGACCATCCTACAAAATGAAAACGGGGGCCTCAAAAGGGAAAAAAGGTATTTCCATAGCAAGGAGATTGATCAAAGATTCTTGCAAAGAGCAAAAAATATACTGTACAGCAAAGGCTTAGTCAAACTCCTAGGATCTTTTCAAAACATGTGAGAAGTATTTCTAGCCCACTATTTTAACACTCATGCACTAGGGCTTAAAACACACATATGCCTCACACTGAGTGAGTTTTGGGATGTTAAAATGTCAACTTATTGACAGTTACAAGTAAGGTGAGGATTGTCATTAGAGATGTCTGTAGTCCCGCCTCACACTGAGTGAGTTTTGGGATGTTTTATGACTCTGTGAAAATGCCAACTTATTGACAGTTATAAGTAAGGTTAGGATTGTCATTAGAGATGTCCGTAGTCCCAACTAGAGCAGAATGATTAGATCCATGGGATTTACACAGATGTTGAGTTACCATTGAGCAACTTATTTGCTGGGAGTTGGGGCTAACAAAAGTGCTGCTTAAGACTACCTAATTCTAGGTGAGAATACCTACTATATTTAGGCTTTTGTTTTTCTTGACATAAAATCCCAACATTTCCTTCTGAAAACAGCCAACCCAGTGGCACCCAGCCCACTTTACTTCTGCTGCTCAATATCTCAGTATCTTGATACCTTCACCAGAAAATGGCAGAAGGTTCTCTCTCTCTCTTTGTCTCAATGTGTGATGTTGGTTAGGAAAAATAGTTGCTTCCATGACAAAGGGCAGAAGGTTGGTTCAAACAATTTTGTCCTAGAAAAAAACTTTGCTTGTCAGAAATAAGTTATACGTGCCTCATTCAGAGATGTCACTCTTCAAATGACAATTCCATAGAAGATTTGTGAGCTACTTGGAGAACCTACTTTGTAAGTTTGGTTGTGTGTAGCTTCTGCAAGAAAACATGTTCCTAGCGACTAAAATTTTTCGTCCAAGAGAGTTAAAAAGGATACCACTTGAATGAAAAGTGAGTTTCTGACAACTGAATGGTTATAAGATGTAAGTGCTTTGGATTTACTAAAGGATGAGGTTTCTTTGAATGAAGCCATATCACTTGTATTTGGAGTGTCTTTATCTACAGAGGAATTACTTACCCGACTAATGAAAAATTCCCCAAGTAGCTCACAAAATGTTAAGAACAACATTGAAGAAAGATTGTCAAGACATCATAAAACACGCCTTGTATTGCAATGTGAAAAAGTGAGTGCTGTCTGTCGCACAGGGAACCAAAAGTTATCGTTAAGCTCTACTTTCGCACTTCTGTACAAGTGCAAAAAAGAATCCCACACTACACAAAACTTCAGAAGAAAGCTCTACAGGGGCTATGGCAGGGGATTCACCCTTACTCATGGGAAGGGCCAGCTCTGAAAAAATCCCACAAAAACAATTTCTCCTATACTCTAAAGAAGCAGTGACTTCCAATTATACCAGCATTGACATTACCTTTTTATCTCTTTGGAATGTCAGGATTTGACATGACCATATTGGGAGGTACTGAAGCTATGTGCCCCTGAAAAGTGATCTGTAAAAGATTTGGTTGGGCAGAACAATAAGGGGTATAATCCTCCTTAACTGCACCATTTTGGAAAATAGGAAACATTCTGAATCAGTGCCAGAAATCTGATAGTAGAAAGTCACACTCCATAAGTCTGATGACATTATCATCTGTGCCCATATTTTTGCATTTAAATGTTTTTTGCACCCCAAGTTTCCACCAAAGGCTTCCCTAAGGGAACTCGGGAACCTGGGGGAAGGGGGGGGGAGATAAGAAAGGTTTAAATGGCTGTGACTGATGACATCATCAGACTGGCACAGAGTAACTTTACATTGTTGGATTTCAGCCAGTGTTCCTACTATATATAAACCTGTGAGAATTATACAGCAAACATGGTCTAAATCAGTGGTTCCTAACCTTGGATTCCCATATATTCTTGGATTACAACTCCCAAAAATTCTGGCCAGCACAGCTAGTGTGAGTTTTAGTCCAAGAACATCTGGAGATCCAAGACTGGCAACCACTGGTCTAAATAATTTCCTTCATCAGCTGATGAACTAGGAGATTCAGCTGCTTCCAGCTTTGATATATGTAGAGTTCCCATGAAGGACACTTCCCACAACAACACTGTATTTTAGGCTGCATAGTATAGTCTCTAAATCCCATGAGGTACAAGCAATAGTTAAACCTCATCTTGAGTACTCTGTCCAGTTGCGGACACCACACTTCAAGAAGGATGTGACAAACTGGAACAGGTTTAGAGGAGGGCAAAAAGGATGATTGGGTGCTGGGACACAAGTCCTATGAGGAAAGACTGAAATAACTGTGCATGTATATTCTTTAGAAAAGAAGACTGAAGGGAGATATGAAAGCACTTTTCAAATACTTGAAAGGCTGTCATTCAGAGGAGGGCAGGATCATCCCTGAGCTCAGGACATGCATAAGTGGGCTCAAGTTACAGGAAGCAAGATTTTTACTGAATATCAGGAAAAACTTCTTAAGTGTTAGAGCAGTACAAAAATGTAACCAATTATCTTGAGAAGTGGTGAGTGCTCCAACACTGGAGGCATTCAAGAGAAAATTGGACAACCACCCGGCAGCTATCCTTTGATTGTATTCCTGCATTGAGCAGGGGGGTGGATTCAATGACCTTATAGGCTCCTTCCAACTTCATGATCCGCTGTGCACACGTGCACAAATTTCATCTGTGACAGTAGCAAAGGGAAACAGCTTGGACTTTCCTCATTGTCTCGCTCAGATCAATGGTGTGAAATCATTGAAAGCAAAATGGTGGAGTCCAGAGCTCACCAAAGTTACTTTTTTTTGGAACTACAACTCCCTGAGAGAGACACCACCAGACTTGGGGGGTGGTGTCAGCTGAAAGGTCATTTTTCAAGCACTGGCTAAGTCAGTGAAATAACACACATTAAGGAAGTGTCCTTTC